ACACTGGAGACCGGTTTGTGTTGTCTCCAATCTCCATTGGAATCTCTGCCCTTGCTTCAATTACTGCAAACTGAGAATGCATTTCCACCTGGCCTGCTTGACCTTCGTATACACATGGAGTCAAGAACTCTGTCCTGTGGAAATCTGGTTCTCCGCGTCACGTCTTTCTACTAATCCTAGGATAACGGAAGCATCCAACTTCCAGTGGCTACCCCCTGCCCTGGACATCTCGCTCTCAAGTGCTTGGTACGTCCTTCAAGTTTGCAACAATTTGAATAGCCAGGGAGGGGTATCCCATATATAGCTGTGGTTCGTCACAGTCATCTGCTTCAAACCAAATTATTATAGATTCGTATATCTAAAAGTCCAAACATCCAAGTCGTCACTTCCCGGTGATCATATTTGCTTTATCCTCCCAATCAATTTCCTGTCTTAAAACACCTGTCAAAAGCAACTCGGGCGAGTAAACTGTAAATCCTCCTTGTACGAGCGGTCGCCATATCGAAATGTCATCTGGACACGAGATCACATAGCGATTTTCTTTCCCTTTGAGAGATCGAGTTGTAGGTGATGAGGCGGTTTGAACCTATGGTTGAGCCGGTTAATTCTACAAGAATCGGTACTTAGAAGTAAGAGGAACAACTTACGGTACCTCCTGCTGCTGTCACGACGTTCTTCAACAGTTTGTTGTCGATAGCCACTTTGGGTGTTATGCAGAACGTCATCCCTGCAAATGACCGTGGCCCACCCTCCGACTTTGAGCGGGCGAGAGCGTCGGAGAACTTAAACTTCCATTTCTTCTCAGCATCTGGGTCAGACAACATATAGTTATCCTCAGCTACATGGCACAACAGTCAGAACAGCAGTGGCGAGTAGGTAGAAAAAGCTCACGCAGTATCTTTCCTGCCTTTGCGCTCCCAGTGGCCCATTCCTCAGTGAGAATGAACGGTGCCACTGCCAAGGCACATAGAAACTTCTCTGTACGAACAATGCTCTTAGCAACGAGATGTGTGCATTCGCCGGGGCGGGTTGTGGTCTTGATTCCAAGTTTAATAAGACGCTTTAGGGAACGGTGAACGACATTCCTTGCAGCACGGGGATGC